CCCCCCTTATCTACGCCCCTGACTGAGAGCCACAGATGATGGGGCACCTGTCCATCCTTGACTCTGAGAAGTGTTTTCATGATAAAACATTTTTAGCTGTTGCTCTCCAATTCCTACACAGCTCAGTGCTTGTTTGATAATCACAGGTATTGCTGAAATCAGACACATTGACTTCACAAACTGGGCTTTGCATGCCTATAGGTCTCCCACAGATGGCAGATGATCACTGCTTGATCCAAGCAAAATAAAAAAGTTTTGGCTGGACATACAGTTTCGGATCAGGTTGGGAACCGGTGTGTGTGAAGTCTCTCCTGAGAACCCCCTTGGGTGACTGATCTTACGGGAAGTATTAATGGTCTGGGATGGTATTTCCTGAACTTTTGCTATTGATTTACTAAAGTAAGCCAGCACCAGGAGTGTGTATTCATAAACACGCATACTTTGCTGCTATGCAGTTCTTTTGGCAACCATCATGCAGTAAAGCAATCCTTGAAGGAAGCATGTTCTAATTGCTCTCATATCTCTGGGTACCTTCAATGTCTGAATTTAGTGTTTTCACTAACTCTTCATTTAAGAGAATAACCTGATGTGCACTAGCTGTGTGAGCACAGTGCTATGATAATTTTGTCTTAAGTAGAGCTTTCTTTGCTTGGCTCACCTCTCCAGTAGGGCTGCAACAACTAATCGACATAATCGATTATAATCGATTATTGAAAAAGTTGTCAACTTTTTCAATAATCGATTAATCGGCTTCCGATCAGTTGGCCCTGTTCACAGCTCCACACGCTGTGCGCCGTACCTCCTCCCCACCTCACGCTCGCTGCTGCCAGACCCGCCCGCATCCATGCTCCACACGCCGCACACTCACCGACCTTTTTTTAAACTTTATTTTATTGTTTATCCGATTAACCGATTAATCGAACCTAATAATCGGCTAACTAATCGATTTTGAAAATAATCGTTAGCTGCAGCTCTACTCTCCAGCATACCATGCCTTGTGCTGCGAGTTGTGTAATGTACGTGGCTGTTTTTATGTTCCTTTGTGTGTGTGTCCTCCCATACGTGAGCTTTCTGTCTGCTGCATGTTGGTACTTGTGATGCTGCCTATGTGTTTTCACTACGGATTTTTTATAGCAGTATGCAAGCACCGATCCTCCCTCCCCTCCTCTGGCTGCTGTCTCCGTCCCGCCTGCGGTGTGTACGCTAGCACTCCTGGGCGTGCGTTCAACAGCTGTTGTGTGTGTTTTCTCTTGTGTAAATTACTGTGTTGGACATGTTGGTTTGTATTCTCTTTCTGTCTTAATGTGTGCACACTTCTACCTTTTTTTCATTGTGTATTTTATTTCATATAGAAATCTATATATAGAAGGCCTACCAAAAGAGCAAGCAATTTATCTCCGTAATTATTAAGACTTGCTTCCCAGTGTAAACATAGGGAGGAATTCTACTGTGCCTGGGACTTTTCAACTACACCGCAATTCTCCATACATGGGGAAGTATAGAAGAGTTGCCTTCCCTTTAGAGGCTGATCTCTGGAATCTGAGAGCACTGAATACAGGGAATGTATAGGCTTTTCAGTTGTTTTTTTTGAAATATTAAACACATAAAAAAAGATCAGCTTGATGTAAATTATCTCATCAATATTTGTTAATGGTTGAAGAATGTTGTTTCTGTGTATAATTTGTAACAATGCATGTATGTAGAGCAGCCCTTTATGTTCAACACATATGTCATCTCTGCGGCCTGCTTGTCAGCTCTGCACATTGGTTGAGCTTTACTGCTCACTGCCAACTCACTAAAAAGAATGCATTCCCTTTGTTGGCATCTTAAATGGAAACTTGCAGTAAAATGTAAGGTCCGTCAATTTGCTGCAAGGTCCATTTTAACTCGCCTGTATAATGGGAAACTCTCACCTTTTCAGAAAACTACAGTACACACTTTGGGTGTCTACATTTTATCATGATATTACTAATTACTAAAGTGTAAGAAAAAAAAACTCTGCGTAAAAACGTATTCTATATAGTTGGCCTATGGCTCCAAAATTCATACACTTGTAAAGTAAAGAAGACCTAGTTATGACATGATGAGGAGACCTGTCCTTGCCTTCTCCCCATCATGTCATACCTAGGCATGTCTGAACCAGATCCTGTCTGATTGCCTTCTAATGACTCTGGGTAGCTCACAACTGGGTATGTACTATATTCACCTCAAACTACCCATGTATACTTCCCACATTTTCCTACTTTAGATGAATAGTCCTGTTTGAAAGAGGCAGGGTTTAACAAATGGTATATATTGATACTGATTGCCACATTGGTAACAGCCAGGTTTTAACTAACCAGGGAGGGGGCTTAAATGTCCAGATTCTGTTTATTTTTTGTTTATTCTTATGAGCATAAAAATCTGTAATCAAATTGAAAAGGATTGCCTTTTAAATAGCATCCAGGTCTATATAATTTTACTTACTACTGCCAGTGTATCATTGACCCCAGTAGAGCATACAGGTAAAGTTTAATGTGGTAAGCATGCACTGTACATCTGTGTGTGCGCTGAAAGCCTTTAGTACACAAGACCGGTGTTCTTCTTGCCCCTCCCAAAAAGCAAACTTGGTTCTTCTAAGGGAGACAGGTTTAACATTAACAGGATGCTGTTCCCACATCTGCTGGCCCCGATAAGTTATTCCCGCCACAGCCC